CCCGTGTCCCCTGCATCGGCAGGCGGACTCGTGCCACCAGGGAAGCCCTATGAATCATTTTATTTCAGTCTTGGTATTCATAATCCTAATTTGTAGTTTGCATTTTACTTCTAGCAGATATCTTTGCATCATTGGGAAGAAAGGAATCTTCAGCAACTATAGGAAAGTAATTTTAATTTTCTGATTAAAAAGTTTTGAATTTACGTTTTTGATGAAAATATATACTCAAATTTTGCATAATTTGAATACACTAATCCTTTCTCAGTGTTTTCCCAAAGAGCTTTCTATGATGACGGAAATGTTCTATATCTGTGCTGTCCACATGTGGCTACTGATTACTTGCAAGCACCACTGAGGAACAAAACCAGGTGAAATATGGCTATAAATGTTCCATACAGAACAGATCATTGCTATCACTAGGACAAAAAAATTACTTGACAGTCTCGATTATGGCAACATATGAGCGATTTTACTAAAATAAAGGTAGTATTTATGCAGTATTGTTATCTTTGTCAAGGTAGGAACATATAACATATTATATAATAGTTTGCCAGCTTGATGAATAACTTTGAAATATTTAGACATATGATGGGGGCTGGCTTGACAGCACCCCTAACTGTGACCAGCCATTCTGCATATGTCACTGTTGTCCCCAGAGAGACAGGAGTGTCATGTGGTTGGATTAAAATTTAAAAAACCTCCCCTGCTGGAAAAAAGTGACAAGAAATGTCCCATTGGAAGGACTCCTACAGCATCCTTTCCTTAGAGGAAGTCCAATACATTCCTTTTGAAGAGAGGCCTTCCATTTGGGCTCAGTGCTGTTTTGGCCAGTTACCTGGAAGAGGGAATGAAGAAACAGTAGCTTAGCTGTTAGAATTGCCAGGGAAGGAACTGCTGGCAAAAACCCCACCACTGTTTGCAATGTGGATTTCAGGCTAATAAGGGCAGAGTTGGCTTAACACTGTAATGTTTAGAGATCAGAGATAATAGAAATTCATTGGGTCTCCCACTGAGCTTTAAGTAACCTGAGGAAGGGACAGGGCACCTTCTGGTTACCAGGGTAACAGCACTGGGAATCCCTACAGGGCTTCCTCCCCACTGGTGAAGGGACCCCTATCTGCGCAGCTGACTCCCATGCCCCCACCCAGCCACCTCACACACGTCCTTGCCCCGGGGTGGGGTGCTCCAGCTCTAAGGCTGTTCAATACTTTCTCCTGGGGGTCCCCAGGGCAGTGAGCCCCAGTTGCCCACAGTGGCAACGTGCTCATTCATACACCCTATATTGACTCCACCTCACCTTTCTGTCTCACTTTCCCATTCCTCTTGTATTGCTTCCTGGGATTACTTCCCCAATAAAACCTAAAACCACTTACACTTAAATCCTTAACTTCAGGCCTGTTCCTGGGGCAGCCCAGCGTAAGACAACCTCCAGCCCATAGCTCAGTGCCTGGCAGATATATGGCCTTCTTAGATATTTGCTGAAAGAATTCACATACTTTGCAAATGAAATCATACCTTAATATTAACTTCTTCACCCGACTCAAAGAAGGAAAATGACTAGATTGACATCTCCTTATGTGGATCCATCTCACATCTACTAGTATAACAGCTCCACTGGAAAGCACATGACCATTCAAATAAAGGAAATTTGGGTTCCATCACATCACAGGACCTCAGCACCAGGGAAAGCCCAGGTGACAGACCCTCACTGCTGATCCTTGGAGGTATGTGACCCCCCTGCCTCTCCATACTTCAAACGTTATTTTGCAATCGAGATAAGGCTCAACAAGTACATATTTGGGAGAAGAAGCAGGATGATGTAAGGTTCGTAGTATTAAAACGTCAATGATTAATACAGAGCCTTCGAAAGAGCACTTCTGATAAGGATCTAATAAGTGGAATTCTGCAAGAAAGAGGAGCTGTTCGTTGGGCACCAAAATCAAGTCCAGTCCCTCAATTTGCCCCGGGGAGGTGACAGCTGTGACATATCCTTGTCTGTTGGTTCTAGGGTCCACTGGAGACAGGGTCGAAGTGAGCGTGGGATCAATGCACTTTCTGGGCCTTTGTCAGTACCGGAGGGAGCCCGGGGCCCACTTGCTTCATGGGTTTGCCCTCTTGCTGGCGCAGTTCCCCGCCCTAGAACACCGTGCAACTCACCGGTAGTTACTTGGTTTCTAATTTAACCTCTTCCCAGGACTTCCACTGCTTTCAATTAGCTAGGCCTGGCGCCTGCAGCTCCATGTGTGTTATTCCAAAGGAAATAGAAGGATTGCCCCCCGCTTCCCCGCCTTTTTCTTTTTCTTTTTTTTCAGTTTTACAAACTGAACCTCTTTACTGATGCATTGGAAGCTATTTTATCCACTTAATGAAATAGGCATTCCACACCCCAAATGGTAAATTATATATTTCAAGACATCATTTGATTCATTACCCACGCCTCCTCCCGCGTTCCCCAACACTTTGCAACAGACACAGAAATCACAGGTTACGTAGGTCCGTGTGACCGCCGCCTTCCGTGCATGGCCCGCGGCTCGCTTGGGCCCACCAGGGACGGCTGGGACGCAATGAAGCGGCCGAGCGTGTCCTGCTCAGAGGGTGCGAGGTTCCGGGTGCAGGAGCGCGGGTGGCCCGCGGGGCTGCCGGTGCGCTGCGGGGTCTCGGTGCCAGCGGCCGCAGCTAGCTGCCCGGGCGCCCGCCAACTTCGCGGCGCCCGCGGCGCGGAGAAGCCGCAGACCCTCGCAGCCCCGGGATCTGCCGGCTCGCCTGGACCGCAGCCGCCGGGGAGCGCGGGCCCCGCGACTCCCGGTGCCTCCGGCCCTGCCCGCCGACACTGTCGTCCGGCACCGGCGTCGGAGCCGCCTCGCCCGCCCGCCCGCGGGGCCGCAGGCCGCTGTCCCGCCCGCCGCGCTCGCCAACTCCCGGCGGCCCGTGACCCGGGACAAACTTCTGGTCCAGGCGCGTTCCCTGCGCGGTCACCCTCCCGGAAGCCGGCCGCGAAACCGAAGCTGCGGCGGGAGGGGAGCGGGAGGGAGCGGGTGGCACCGCCCGGCCGCCGCTCTCCGAGCGGTGACGCCGCCCCCGCGGCCACCCCCCGCCCGGCTCCCCCCGAGGCGCCGCGGCAGCCGAGCGCCGGGCGCGGGCCGGCGGGGCCGGGCGCTCACGCCCTCTAGCGGGCCGCGGCGGCGCGGGCGGCCGTGACGTGGGCGCTCCCTTCAGCCGGCCTGCGGGGCACCGCCAGTCAGTCGGGGAGCAGGAGCCCCGCTTGCAGCCGGCGCGGGCTCGGCCATCGGCGCGCCGCCGCCCGGGGGCTGGCTCGCCTGGCGGCGCAGAGGCGGCGGGCGGGACGCGCGCGGCCACGGCCCCGGCCCCGGCCACCGCGGCGCCGGAGGCTCGGGTCCCGAGCCGGGGAAGGAGAGCGGCGGCTAGCGCAGCCGCCGGCACGGAGGGCGGATTTTGGCTCCACGGGCGCGCCCTCCGCTCCCTCTCGCAGCGGCGCAGCTCCGAGCGGGGCCGGCTGTAGGGCGGGAGGACCCAGGAGCCTCGTCCCCGGCCCCGGGAGCCGCCGGAGTTGGGACTTTTGCAACTGTTAGCACTTTGGGCGTATGGTTCTGGTTTTGGCTGTTCACCCTCCTCTTCTTGCCGCCTTGGAGGCAAAGCTCCCGGCCGCACTCCGCCCTCGCGCCCACCCAGTGCCGCCGGGAGCGGCCCGGCGCGCACTCAGCACCATGGGGAGACTTGGGACTTGCCTGGCGACTTTGACCGGACTTTTGCTAACTGCGGCGGGGGACACGTTTTCAGGTACGCGGGGCTGCGTCTGCCGGGGCCTGGGGCGCGCGGGCCGGAGGGGGCCCGGGACGCGGGCAGTTCCCAGTGGGAGAGCCCCAGCGGCGAACGGCAGGGCCGGGCAGGGGGCGCGGCGGGCCGGGCACCGAGTCTGCCTGTCCCCGGCGCGGGCGCGGGGCCGGCGGCGAGGGCGGGCACCTAGCGCTTCGGCGGGCCGAGCGGACGAGCCCCGGAGCCTGGCCCCCGTCTCGGCACCCGCTCCTCCGCGGCCTGGGCGCGTGTCGGGGCGGACGGCGCCACTCGGAATCCCGGGTAGGTTCCGAGAGCGACAGCAGAAAACTTTGCCTGAAGTTGGGAGTTGCAGCCGCCGGCCGCCGGGCGTGGGCGCTGCGCGGTCCTTCCCACGGCGAGCGGCGGCCGGGCCGGGTCGCAGTGCCCGCTGCGCCCGCGCGATCGCCCGACCAGCCAGCGGCTCCGGCGGCGGCGGCGATCATCGGTCCTCCCCCCGCCGCCCGGCTCGCGGCGGCCTTGACCCCGGCTCGTCCCGGCGGCTGCGCTGCTGCCCGGGAGAGCCGAGGCGGCGTCCTCGTCGGTCCCGGCGGGAGGACCGGCGGCCCGGAGGGAGTGGCCGGCCCGCAGGCCCTGGGCCGCCGTGGCTGTGCCCCGCTGGGCTCCCCCTCCGAACCCTCGGCCCCGCGGAACGCCCGACCGGGGGCAGCGGTCAGCCCACCTCTCGGCCCGCGGTGCCGCGTGGGGAGGAAAGGGAGTGGCGGGGAGGTGCCTGCTGCGCGCTGGCGGTCCGAGCTCGGAGAGCTCCTTGCCGGAGGACGCCTGGCCGGGAGTCGGGGATCTGGAGGGGCGCCAACCCCGCATGGTGTTAACCTGGAACACACGTGGATGGACAGCCGGCGCTTGCACACCCGCACACTAGCACACTTTCTCGTGTGTGTCAGTTTCATTAAGTTCCACGTAGAATGGTGGCACTGGGCTTGTTTTTCTTTTAATAAAAAGCCCGCTATTTGGCCTTGAACTTAGGTTGCAAAATAGGTTTCTATGTTTATTCGGGAGGAATGAGTAAGTTGAACTTTTTGTTTGTTTTTTGAATTTCATGAAGGATACTTTCACTGACGGTAAAGCGCATATTTTAAAACGTTTCAAACGTTTGCCTCTGTCAGATCTGTGGAAACCTACATCTTTACTTTCCCGGAGCCCAAGGGACACGCAGGCACACAGGCCGTGCCCCGGTCGTCCCTGAGCCCAAGGACCCTTGACCACAGTTGGCCGCCGCCAGGAAGCCGAGCGTGGAGTTGGCTGCTCGCTCTATGCTGTCAACTTCAGTAGAGAAATACCCTTTTCCCAAGTTTAATGTGTCATTAACTGTCTGGTAATTGCACGTGCGCCGGAGGATTTAACAAATTGATCCACTGCTGTCTGCTGTGAACTTGATGCAGATACTGGCCTGCGTTCTTTCTTATTAGTGAATTATGGAGTAGACTCGCCAGTTGTAGAGCCTTGTAACTCATTAGTGTTAGAAGCCAAGGATGAGGGCCTTAGTTGATGGTTTTCTCTTTATTAAGAATCCATAGCTCCCTGCCTGGGATTTGTTTCAAGTTAAGCTGTGTCAGAAAGCACTTGGATGGATTTTCAAGTTGTGGGCGAGGGGGTGGAAAGAAATATTTATGTAGCTTATTTAAATGATCGTTTTCTCATCATTAAAAGGGACTTCAGCCTATGTAGTAGTGGCCTGTGTCCTTGTTAATGCTTATGTAAATTAATAGTCAAACCAAAAGAGACTTTTTTTTAAACTCAATTTTAGCCAGAGTTTTCTTTCAGAGGAAATATGTCATTCTGTTTGTTTGTTATCATACCATTGATTGAACTGTGCCTCCTTTTCATTTGGAAGCCAGAGTTATCCTAGTATGTTAGAGGGTTAAGAGGAAATGAAGGGCAGTATCCCAGAGAGAATGCTTAGCAACAATGAAATTTAAAAAATTGAAGTTGGCAAAATTTGTGTGTGCAAGGATCAGATAAACTGCAGTGCATTATGCTTTTTCTCTTCACTTTGGGTTTTAGGTAGAACATGTGGGAAGCACTTAATGCTTTGGAAAAGTCTTTTTTTTTTTTCTTTGTATGTTGGGAAAGTTAATTCTGATGTTATGAGTGACACTGACACTTGTTTCGCTTTACGAGTCTTCTGGACATTGAAATACTTGGCTGCTGTCCCCTGACATGGGGATCCTTTTAGAGACAGAGGAGCTCGATGGTAAGTGGCTTGAGGGCAAAGGCAGTTATTTTTCCTTCTTGGCTCCGATAAAGCACTTACATTCACTGTTTGTTGAATAAATTAGTGATGTGACTTCTGATTATTTGCAAACATTCAAATTGTATGTGAACTGACTGACCCAGAAGGGAGGGAGAGGAGAGATTGTGAGATTGGCTTGCATCGTCCCTTCTTTTGAAATTAACATTTTCATCACCGATTCTTCTTAGGGCACCCAATGGACTGAATCCCGAGGTTTTATGTAATCAGTGGAGGTTTTTTTTTTTTTGTTTTTTTTTGTGTGTGTGTGTGTAACTAAGATTTATACACAAGATACTTTGCTATTTCCCCTCTGCATCCTCATATCCTCTTTTGGAATGCATTCGGAATTGATGTGATTGTTGATTAATCATTTATGTAAGGTACTACACATAATTTGAACGCCAGATATCAGAAATAGAGTGCTAAACATATTGGAAGAAAAAAGAAAAGAATTAGGTTTTTTGTCCAGGAGGACTTTTATTTAGTATATATAAACATTCCATTTTAAACATCACTTTCCATGTTTACAATTTCTAACTTGTTAGGCAAAGTATTGGAGGCTCACTTTCTGCCTTCTATCTAGGCTTTGAATGGTCATTCAAAATAACTCCTGTAAAACGATATACAAGTAAGAAGCGAGGAAGAAAGTGGAATCATTCTTGCTTCTGCTTGAAATTCTCTTTTCCAGATTGAGAAGCCACATAGCTGGGAAGTCATTCCTCTTTGACCCATTTTCTCAAAAGCCAAGTTGTAATATATCCTATGCAAGGAAGTGTTTGGTTTTATATAATAATGAGACTGATATGGTAAGGTCTGGTAAGCAAGGCTTGGTTTGCAGACGGAGAAATGCAAACAGATTGGTCCTTTGCTTCCACCTCAGTATTTGGAATAGATTAAACCTTAATATAATCTTGTGAATTTGAAACTCTTCTTGAGAAATTTCTTTTTTAAAGTACTCTTTTAAGGACATCTGTGGGAAAACATCCAAAATCTGAATGGAGTCTGTAGTTGAGTTAGTAGACCCGTACCAATATTTAGTTTCTTAGTTTTGGATAATTCGACTCTGATTAAGTCAGATGTCAACACTAGGCGAAGGCGGGCGAAACATGCACTGAAATCTTTGTACTGTTCTTACAATAAGTTGAAAATTATTTCAGAATACAAGATTGTACAGTACCCTTTACAAAGAGTGTGAATAGATTTGTTTAGCAGTTTGATTAATTTTTTTCTTTTTCAGATAACTAGAGTCATGACATTTTATATTTTTTTGGTGCTTTAATGAGATTGTTCATGGACGTGATGAAAAGATTTCAAGTTTAAATCGGGGTGCAGGATAGCAATATGCCGAGAAATCACTGACATTTTTAGTGTTATGTGGATGTAAAGAAGTATTGCTTGAGTTTAATCAATTGTTCTGATCTGGAAAAATCACAGGTTTTAGTCTCTAATGTTTTCAAAGGGTTATTTTTACAGATTTTCAGTAGAGAAGTTACTTACATATACTGATATGTAGATACGTGTGTATGCAATTTGAGTAATTCTAAACGAACACGTAATGAACAAGTAATCTGAATTATGTCTTCACATGATATGAACCCCACCTGAGTCTCAAGCATAGCCTTTAGTTTTGGGAAAAGTTGGTTTTAGAATTTAGGTACTTCTGTGACAATTCGATAAAAGTTGATGGCTTTATTGGAAATTGTCGTAGTTTTATAACAATTGTAATTCATTCCAGGAATTGATAGGCTGTACGTATCTGTTTCAGTAGAGGCACTGTTTTGGATTAAGCGTTGTTTTCTCTTGGTTTTTGTTTTAGGTTTAGTTTTCTCGAATAAGCGTGTATTATCTAAATATCCTAAGACAGTTTTTAGTTAGGGGTCAGGCATTTTAATAAGTAGTTACATACTTTTTCAACAGTATAACATTTTTTTTTTAAGGTGGTGTCTATCATGCTTTGTAATTCTAGGATTCTTCTCTTTGAAAACCAACCTTCCCACAAACTTTTCTCCAGGGGCTTCTTATCTTTATGACCACAACCTATTAATAAGCTTATTTTGTAAGTGAGAGAAGGTTTCATTACTAATGTTTTTCAGACTCACTAATGAAAAGTTTAAAGAAGATGCAAAAGCACATAAACCTCCCATCAGAAGAGGATGCTGCTTCTCCAGTTCCTAAGATACTGCCGTGGTTTAGCACTTAGTCATCAGAAAGCCTGCATTTATACTGTTGCTCCGAAAATCAGTAGGTAGGGCTGGTGTTAGGTGGGGAGCAGGAAAGCTTTAGTCATTACCCTTGGTAGCCTGTGGTCCCCCCGCCATCCAGGGCGGGCGGCTGGCAAGGGCAGAGCCTGATAAAGGGGTGGGAACGTGGGAGAGGAGAACGAAAGAAGAACACAGGCCTGAGAAGGGAAGGGTTGTGTGTGCTCACCTGTAAGAACACAGGTCTGCAGATCCCGGCAGGCAGGGTCGCTGCTCTTCCCCTCTCTTTGCTGTTAAGGGTGAAACGTATGGAGAGTTTAGGGAGGAGGATCAACAGAGTGACAAACGGGCAGGGAGAGCAGGTGACAATCCTACACGTTGGTGGCTTTAGGTGGCCTGGGGGAGGGCGTGGGGTGTGTTCAGCCTGTGCTGCTGGTGAGCTATGTGTATACCTGTGATGCTCAAAAACCAAGCGTGCCCGAGGGTCACCGGGAGTGGTCCTTCCTGACTTGGTC